TAAATAAATAAATAAATAAATAAATAAATAAATAAATAAATAAATATGCTTGAGCACATGTAGAAGAAATTGAAAGTTTGCATATTTCCCGTGTTCCCCCTCAGGCAAGGAGAATGCTCCAGTAAGAATCAACAAGAGAAGATCTATTAGTACGATTTTCTTAGTCCAGCAGTTGTCATCTACACTAACAAAAGGCTAGGAAAGACTCTGGTCCAGCCTTGTCCAGCAGATGGCACTGTCCAATGGAATGCTCACTGTCTGTGCCATCCAGCATGGTTTGTGATATTTTGAAATGCAACTGAGCAAATATTTTAAAATTTTAATTAATTTAAATGTGGCCATTGCACTTGTGGCTTATTGGCTATAGTTGTTAGGTAATAGAACCTCTGCCTCCTTTGATAACGGTTCCACAGTTAATACATGATTTTATCTTGTGGGTAATTTATTTTATTTGACGAGGATAAACATCTACTTCTATGTTTTAAATGTATAATACCTACTGCAGTGTAAATGCTATGAAAATGCAGTATTGAGGACCTAATGACAAGAAAAATGTCTACACATGCTCAGTTCAGAGAAAGTCCTGTCCTTCCTCCCTCCTCCCCCAGCTCCCAGCCCCCTTCCATATACCCTCCACCCCCCCAGTAATTCCCCCTTCATAGCTCTTGTGTTCCATTGTATTCCCTTAAAGCCTCTTTCTCCTCCTCACCCCCAATCTCATGAGGCACTTTCTAGTTCCCTGGCTTCTGTCCACACTTAATACCATCTAAATACACATTTTTAACATTTAGAAGCTGCAATCTATATATGAGAGAAAACATGCTGTATTTGTCTTTCTGAGCTAGTTTGCCTCACTTAATATATCTATGTTTTATAAATCAATAAATTTAGAAATTAATTAAAATTAAAATTAATTATTTTTTTTCTTGTCTTTTTGAGACAGGGTCTCCCTGTAGCCCCAGCTATAACACACTATGTAGACCAGCTAGCCTCGAACTTGCTGAGATCTGCCTGCCTCTGCCTCCCAAGTGCTGGGATTAAAGACGTGTGCCACTACACCTGGATATCTATATGTGTGTGTGTGTGCGTGTGTGTGTGTGTGTGTGTGTGTGTGTGTGTGTGTGTGTGTTTTTCCGTCTTTTTGAGCCAGGGTCTCCCTGTAGCCCCAGCTGTAACTCACTATGTAAACCAGGCTGGCCTTGAACTCACAGATGTCCTGCGCTCCTGAGTGCTGGGATTAAAGGCATGTACCACCATGCCTGGCCTTAATTATATATATTATTTATTTTAATTCTCTAATGCTCTGGTTGAATTCAAATAATAATGCTAACTTCTCTGGGGCTACTTACAGATATAGGCGTTTTCTCCCCTTGAGCAGGAGCTCAAGTTCACAAGAAGCTACAGAATCTCCCTCGGGCTAGTTCTAGAACCAAGAACCTACAGAAATCATAGGTATACATTTCATGGGAGGATCCCAGAATGCAGCCAGAATTAACTAATTGCTAAATATCTTAGAAGCCTCAGCACTCTTAATATACGAGTGTGGACAAGATTAGCATGGCATGAGCACTAGAGTATGGTGCCATTTTTAGTGTGGGCTTCAACTTCAGATGCTCTGCATTGTAAGACATCTTGTTATTTTTGCTTAGGCCAGCATCTTACCCTAAAGCTGAGATCTCGAGGCTTTCTGCTTCCCAAATTCGGAACCTCAATCCTCTTTTTGGAGGATCTGGACCAGCTCTTACTGGACTTCGTAATTTAGGAAATACTTGCTATATGAACTCAATATTGCAGTGCCTGTGTAATGCTCCACATCTGGCTGATTATTTCAACCGAAACTGCTATCAAGCTGATATTAACAGGTAAGTGAATGTTTTACTTTTGCAGTGTACTGTTAAATAGGTAAGCTAGCCATAATTGCTTACTATGCTTTGTGCTACTATAACAAAGTACCTGAAACGAACTGAGTTTTTTTGTTGTTGTTGGGTTTTTTTGTTTGATTGTTTTTTGTTTTTTTGAGACAGGGTCTCCCTGTAGTCCCAGCTAGTCTGGAACTCACTATGTAGACTTGGCTGACCTCGATCCCACAGAGATCCTTCTGCTTCTGCCTCTGCCTCCTCAGTGCTGATAAAGGTGTGCTCCACTATGCCCAGCAAAAATTTTAATTTTTTAAATTGTATTATTTTGTGTGTGAGAGAGAGAGACTGGGGCACACGTGGAAATCTGAGGACAACTTTTGGGAATCACTTTTCTCCTGCATGGGTTCTAGGATCTAATTCAGCCTATCAGGATTATATGACAAACACTTTTACCCACTGAGCCATCTTGCTTACCTAAGACCAGAATAGAATTCATAGTTTAGCGACTGGGAAGTCCAACATCTGACTAACCCTCTTGCTGTCTTAGCATAGCAAAGGAAGGGACAGAGGACAAACCCCTGCACTGGGCCCTTTGTCAGGTGTACCGAATGCCATCCACTAGGTCCTTGCCTTGTCACTCCCAAGGTCATCTTCTTTATGCTGTCACATTGAAACACCAGAATTTCTGAGGAGACATACAAAGACCATAGCATTTGCCATTCAGCTTCAGAGGAGTCAGATTAGGAAAGGAGAACTTATCTTTATTCATAAGAATAATGGATAGTTCCAAAGCCAAGTCTGGTCAAAGAGGACAGAGCATGGTAGCAGAATGGCTGTCAGGTTTATGGTGCTGTCTTTTGACTGCAGCCTGTTGATGAGTACAAAGAGCAGGGCTTATAGCTTGAATAAGGAAGCAAGCTGGAGGACCACAGCAAAGTCAGATTCAGGCGCGTGTTGGCAATAAGCCTACAAGTAGGTAGTTCTTTTATATAGAGCTGTGGTTCTCTTGTCTGGCTTTGTGTTGACATCACGAACCCCACCATAACTTTAAATTTTTCTTGTACAGGTCTAATTTGTTGGGGTATAAAGGTGAAGTGGCAGAAGAATTTGGCATAATCATGAAAGCACTGTGGACAGGACAGTATAGATGCATCAGTCCAAGAGACTTTAAAGTCACCATTGGGAAGATTAACGACCAGTTTGCAGGATACAGCCAGCAGGATTCACAAGAGCTGCTTCTGTTCCTTATGGATGGTCTCCATGAAGATCTAAACAAAGTAAGAGATTGGGCTTTCTAAGTCCGAAACTCTGGGGGTTGCTCAGTAGCACTGTTTCCGTTTTTGTAGCAAGTTAAATTCAGCAATGGGTTATGCAAATATAGTGGACTTTGTACTAAAGCGTGGACCTATACTAGTATGTCTAGTAAGTGTGATATATGTTAAGTATTTCTTGTCTCAGACCAGAAATGTTTTAAATTTTTTAAATATTTGCATATATAGACTGAGTCATTTGGGGACTGGAACCCTAGTCTCAACATAAAATGTATTTTTATTTACATATATACGTATCCTGAAGTGAATGTTGTACAGTAATTTTAAGTAACTTTTTTAGACTTCTTTTCTTTTGGGGTTGGGCATCTTTTTGAAACAGGGTCTCCCTGTAGCCCAAGCTGGCCTGGAACTCACTGTGTAGACCAGGTTGGCCTTGAACTCACAGAGATCCACCTGTCTCTGCCTCCTGAGTGCTAGGACTAAAGGTGTGCATCACCACACCCAGCGATTTATTTTCTTTTTAATCATGTGTCTTTATGGGAATATGGGAATATGAGTGCAAGTGCCTGTGGAGCTCAGAAGAGGATGTCCAGGTCCCCTGGGACTGGAGTTACAGGCAGGTATGAGCATTTGATGTGTGTTCTGGAAACCAAACCTGGGTGGTCTTCAAGAGCACCAGGAGCCCTCAGCCCTGAGCATCTCTCCAGCCCCTAAATAAGTATTTTTTACTGTTTAGTTTTGTTTTGTTTTCTTATGAAGTATAATTTTCCAATGTGGCAGCATGTCAGTGCTCAGAAAGTTTTAATGTTGGCCTTGAACTCACAGAGATCCACCTGTCTCTGCCTCCTGAGTGCTAGGACTAAAGGTGTGCATCACCACACCCAGCGATTTATTTTCTTTTTAATCATGTGTCTTTATGGGAATATGGGAATATGAGTGCAAGTGCCTGTGGAGCTCAGAAGAGGATGTCCAGGTCCCCTGGGACTGGAGTTACAGGCAGGTATGAGCATTTGATGTGTGTTCTGGAAACCAAACCTGGGTGGTCTTCAAGAGCACCAGGAGCCCTCAGCCCTGAGCATCTCTCCAGCCCCTAAATAAGTATTTTTTACTGTTTAGTTTTGTTTTGTTTTCTTATGAAGTATAATTTTCCAATGTGGCAGCATGTCAGTGCTCAGAAAGTTTTAATTTAGAGCATTTTAGATTTTCAGTTTAGGGATGTGTAACCTGTATTTGAAAAGTAATTTCAAAGCCAGGTGTGGTAGCACATGCCTTTAATCCCAGCACTCAGGAAAGGCGAATCTCTGAGTTCCAGGTCAGCTGGGGGCTACTGGGAGACCCTGTCTCAAAGAAACCAGAAAAGGAAAAAAAAAAATGTATCTGTTCATAAATGACTACCTTGTGTCTTTTTTTTTTTTTTTTTAAATCTTTTTATCTTTTTGGTCATTTTGAGACAGGTATCCCAGTCACCACCCATCAAAGTAGCTGCTTTTTCAACAGAGATTCTCTGTGAATTGCCCAAGCCTAAGAGGCACATCTAGGATGCAGCCTCTACACCTAAGACTCACAGAACGTAGAACAAGGATGAAGAGAACACTAATGCAGCTTTCAGTTCTCATCAATGAAGCTCCCTCATTCAACAGAGGGCCGGGAACACAAAAGGCTACAAATGGCCAAAACACAGAGAGTAAGAGTCTATAGAGTGTCAGTCCTTGGACAGAACTCCTATATCAAAATCCACCCACCCAGGGCTCAGGGACCTTTGGGGACGAGGGGATGGAAAGATTGTAGGAGCCAGGGAGGAGGGGCATGACCAAACCGAAATAATCCTACAACATCCTAGGACACTTCTCATATGAACTTATAGCAGTGGTGTCAGCATGAACAAAACCCATGCAAACTTAGGCAGACAAAAACCCAGCATAGAGCTGTGGAAATGGGCAGGCCCCAGTCTTAGTACAAGAATTATTGGCAGTTGATTACTGTGGGGTGAGGAAGAGCTGATTGTCACAAAGGGAGGGATTCTATGTAGGCTGACTATATCACAGTGGATGAACTTGCACTGAGGGACATCTGGGAACACTAACTTTACATGATAGGCCTTAACAAAAGTGACAGATTGTATGAGTCCAGTGGAGGGGCTATGGGAGGTGCCAAAGCGGAAAGGGGTGTACAGATGATTTTCTGTATGAAATACACAAAAATTCAATAAAACATTTTTTTAGAAAAAGAAAAAGTAGACCTAAATTAACTTTTAAGGCTTCAATACAAACTTTTAGGAATGTGGATTTAGCTGATTACTGCTTGGTGAGGAAGAGCTGATCTTGAAGGACTCTGAATAGGTTCACTAAACCCCAGTGGATGAACTTGCACTAAGGAACGTCTCGGACACTAACTTTATATAATAGGCCTTAACACAAATGACAGAATGTATGAACTCCAGTGGAGGGACTACAGGAGTGTACCAAAGGAGAAGGGGAATAAAGATTTTCTATATGAAATGCACCAAAATTCAATAAATTGTTTTAAATGCTTAAAATGTTTATGTCATAGAAACCATAATATATTATAAAAGAATATTTTGTTTTGTTTTGTTTTGTTTTTTTTGGTCTCTGTGAGACAGGGTCTCCTTGTAGCCCTAGCTGTCCTGGAACTCAGGGTGTAGACCAGGCTGGCCTCGAACTCACAAAGATCTGCCTGCTTCTGCCTCCCAAGAATATGTTAAATTTTAAAGGAAAAATAGAAATTTTTATCTTTGTTAATTATAAATAAACACGTATATTTGTTCATGGACTTACTGACTGCAAGAAATATTAAACATTATCTTTTCTTTCAAAAAAAAAAAACATGCCAGGCGTGGTGGCGCATGCCTCTAATACCAGCACTCAGGAGGCAGAGGCAGGTGGATCTCTGTGAATTCGAGGACAGCCTGGTCTCCATAATGAATCCAGGCCAGCTGGAGCTACAGGGAGACCCTGTCTCAAAAAGACCA